ATCCCCCCCTTGGCACTACTTCCTTTGTTTGGAATATATCTGTAAATATCCCCCTCTTGGCACTACTTCCTTTGTTTGGAATAGATCTGTAAATATCCCCCCTTGGCACTACTTCCTTTGTTTGGAATAGATCTGTAAATGTAAATATCTGCAGTGAGCAATTACTTCCTTTCTACAGAGAATATTTGGAAATATCCCTGGCATGAAAGTACTGTCTTTCTTGGAACTATATTTGGAAATATCCCACGAGTGACTTTACTTCCTTTCTCCTTAATAAATTTGTAAATATTCTCGGCATGGCGTTACATCCGGCCTTTCTCCCGAATTATTTGGAAATATCCCCAGCGTGACTTTACTTCCTTTATCCTAACATATTTGGAACTATCCCCGGCGTTGCTTAACTTCCTTTCTTTTGAATATATTTGTATTACTTCCTTTCAGGGGTCGATCAATATAAGTCCATCCAATGCGATTCCAAATGTTGATTAATTGACATTAGGGGCAGAAATTAACCATGATGTTATTGTAGACAATTGGAAGTAGGATGTCAAGAAAAATTCTATACTGCAGGATAATCTGCTTTCTTTCTATAATATCCGCAGTGTAGCATTACTTCCTTTCTCTTGAATATATTATTGTAAATATCTGCAGTGTAGCATTACTTCCTTTCTCTTGAATATATTATTGTAAATATCCGCGGTGCAGCATTATTTCCTTTCTCTTGAATATATTTGTAAATATCCGCGGTGCAGCATTACTTCCTTTCTCTTGAATATATTATTGTAAATATCTGCAGTGTAGCATTACTTCCTTTCTCTTGAATATATTATTATAAATATCCGCGGTGCAGCATTATTTCCTTTCTCTTGAATATATTTGTAAATATCCGCGGTGCAACATTACTTCCTTTCTCTTGAATATATTTGTAAATATCCGCGGTGCAGCATTACTTCCTTTCTCTTGAATATATTTGTAAATATCCCTTGTGTGGCTTTACTTCCTTTCTCTTGAATACATTTGTAAATATCTGCAGTGTAGCATTACTTCCTTTCTCTTGAATACATTTGTAAATATCTGCAGTGTAGCATTACTCCCTTTCTCTTGAATATATTTGTAAATATCCGCGGTGCAGCATTATTTCCTTTCTCTTGAATATTTGTAAATATCCGCAGTGTAGCATTACTTCCTTTCTCTTGAATATATTTGTAAATATCCGCGGCGTTGCTTTACTTCCTTTTCTCCAGAAAATATTTGTAAATATCCCCGGCGTGTACCGGCTCGTTATCCTGGACTGGCCTGGGTTTGGAATGTTAGAATATTTAGAGGAATGTTCTCCGTCATTCCTCGGATAGTTTGGACCTTCTAGCAAGTATACAAGGTATGCCGGGAATCTGAGTTCTACTCTTCTATACTCTAGTATAACTATCTCTAGCTAGAGATAGGTATCTCTAGACCCAGGTTTTTATCTTTAATTATCTAGTGCAGAGGGAACATTAGGACAAACTGTAAACTATACAATACCGTGGGAAAACTAATGTTAAACAACGCTACAGAAAATAGTTCCAGTTTTTTATTTATAACAAACTAAACATTACTTTAGCAACATTCTCCATTTAATTTGAATTTAATAAAGTGACAGTAACATTGCCTATTTAACAAATAAAAGCTGTTCTGTTCTACTCTGATTTTCTTGTTCTCCATGCTCTCCACGTTCTTCTTGGTCTGCCTGTTTAGTGTTCACTGTGTTCTCCAAGTTGATGCTCAGAATTTCTACCTAATCCTCCATGTCCTTCGTGCACTTTATGTCCTTCATGCTCTTCATGTTCACCCTGCTCTCCATGCTCTAAATGCTCTTCATGTCCTTTATGCTGTCCATATTCGATGTGTTCTTCATGCATCTGTACAGTATGGTTCCCTAGTTCTCCTTGAACTCCATGTTCTCCACGTAGTTGCTCATTGGGGTTGCCTAGCTCGCTTTGTTCTTCTTGTTCTTGCAGAACTTCATGTTCTTCAGGCTCTTCATTTAGCTGCTCAGTATTGTTATCGATTTCATCGTGTTCTGTCTGATTTCCTTGCTTTCCATGTTCTACAGCACGTGGTTGCTTTGCGCGGTTGACTAGTTCTCCATGTTCTTCATGTCCTACACGCTTTTCACAATCTCCAAACTCTTTATACTCTTCATGCTCTTCATGTTCTCCATACTCTCCGTGTTCACCAAGTTCTCCATGCTCTCTATGTTCTCCATGCTCTCCATGTACTCCGTCATCTAAATGTTCTTCATTTTCTCCCTGTAGCTGATAAATATTAGTTCCTAGTTCTTCGTCCGGGTGCAGTCTAGTTAGATCGTCTACTGGGAAGAAATATCTAAATGAAATCGATAAATATTATAGATTGAACATGAGAACCCAGAATATTATAATTTGTAGATTTCTTGATACTGTCAGTTTCAAGTATACAATATACACTCACTTGCATTAATCAAAAGTTACAAAAATAATATTTGTTTTATAATTAAAGAGACTGTAAACGTAATTTCAAGGAACTCTTCATATATAGACGATTAAGAATTCATTATTTATTTAATAATCGATTTAATAAATGATTTAATTCCCATCAAAAACTAAATGAATGAATAAATTAATGAATTTAATATTGAATACATGCATGCATGAATTACCTTTTTCCTAAATGAATTAACTAACAATCTAAAAAATCGTCATCTACTGAATAAATTAATGAATTCATTTCAAATGAAAGGATGAATTAACTTTTTTCTAAATGAATGTGAGGAATAACCTGATAAATGATGAAGTATAGGATAACGGTGGTGAATATTTACTTCCTCGGGCCCTAAAGTATAGAAGTAAATAACCTGAATACTCTAGTATCTATATATATTCTATGTTCTGTATAGAAAGAGTATATAACCTGAATACTCTAGTACATAGATATATTCCATGCTCTGTAAAGGAGTCGTATATAACCTGAATATTCTAGTATCTATATATATTTTATGCTAGCTCTGTATAGGAGTATATAACTTGAATACTCTAGTATCTATATATCTTCTATGCTTTGTATAGGAGGAGACGGAGTACATAACCAAAATATTCTAGTATCTATATATATTCTGTGCTAGCTCTGTATAGGAGAAGCATATAACCTGAATACTCTAGTATCTATATATTCTATGCTCTGTATAGGAAGAGTATATAGCCTGAATACTTTAGTATCTCTATATGTTCTATGCTAGCTCTGTATAGGAGGAGTATATAACCTGAATACTCTAGTATCTATATATTCTATGTTCTGTATAGGAGGAGTATATAACCTGAATACTCTAGTATCTATATATCTTCTATGCTTTGTATAGGAGGAGTACATAACCAAAATATTCTAGTATCAATATATATTCTATTCTAGCTCTGTATAGGATGAGTATATAACCTGAATACTCTAGTATCTATATATATTCTATGCTAGCTCTGTTTAGGAGGAGTATATAACCTGAATACTCTAGTATCTCTCTATATATTCTATTCTAGCTCTATATAGGAGGAGTACATAACCTGAATACTCTAGTATCTATATATCTTCTACCCTCTGTGAAGGAATCACTACATGAGGATTTTAACTCCTGGCATCTTCCATCACAGCAATCAGTATGCTTCTAAACTAGGGAAGTGTTAAATATTTGAGTAAAAATAAAGAACCAGAAAACTAGAGAAATGTTAAATATTTGAGTAAAAATAAGGAACCAGAAAACTAGAGAAATTTTGAATATTTGAGTAAAAATAAAGAACCAGAAAACTAGAGAAATGCTAAATATTTGAGTAAAAATAAGGAACCAGAAAACTAGAGAAATGTTACATATTTGGTAAAAATAAGAAACCAGAAAATCAGAGAAATGTTACGCATTTGAGTAAAAATAAAGAACCAGAAACTAGAGAAATGTTACATATTTGAGTAAAAATAAGGAACCAGAAAACTAAAGAAATGTTACATATTTGAGTAAAAATAAGGAACCAGAAAACTAGAGAAATGTTATATATTTGAGTAAAAATAAGGAACCAGAAAACTAGAGAAATGTTACATATTTGAGTAAAAATAAAGAACCAGAAAACTAGAGAAATGTTACATATTTGAGTAAAAATAAGGAACCAGAAAACTAGAGAAATGTTACATATTTGAGTAGAAATAAGGAACCAGAAATCTAGAGAAATGTTATATATTTAAGTAAGAATCCTGAAAAGTGTTGCTACAGGTTAAAAAAAATGTTATCCTTACCTTTTCATATTTAAGAATAGCAGGATTTATGAGTTTAACAACTTGAAACAGAGCTGGTTCAATATGTTGGTAAACAAATCTAGCCTTGTCTCTGTACTGTAAACAACTTTAGTTTAGTCACAATTTTGCCTTAGATAGCATGGGTTTTATCTAATTAGATAAAGGAATTAAGTCTTTGCCACAAACTTTGATTCTCTAATTTCAAACTATTAATCATCTAAACAAATAATCTAAGCTTGAAATATCAAAGGATTACACTATCCGGTTGCGAAGATAAAGAATTATAAAATTTGAGTTCGTGGCAAAAACGTGGACAAAGGATGAGACGGAAACGTTATCCTTGGTTTTTATCTAAAAATTAATGATTGTGTGGGTTTTCTACAAAATTTAGTTGCGTATTTATGTAATGTCAAGAAGAAAACTTACAGAATTCTACACATTTCAAAAGAACGATATCTTCTTCTGTTGCTTTGATAGGAAGGAATTGAGTTTTCGACACAAGATACGATTTTCTTATCCCAATATCTTTACAATATTTGATCTGACAGAATTCAAAGTTTTAAATTTCAAAGGTCTACTACATCAAGTTGCAGAGCTATAGGGATTGTAAAATCGAAGTCTGTTGCAAAACCTCAATTCCTGTAAAAAGATAAAAGTCTTATTTTGTGTGTGTAACCCTGTAGATGATATCTATTATCTATAATAATTTAAATATCTATTTCAATGAATGAATATATTTGAATATAAAATATCACCTTATCTGGATTCCCAAGAGCAACGAGGCCTAACACAAATATTACCAGAGTGCTTCCGCAAATTATAAAGATTTGTAAACTCAGCAGAATAACCCTGTAATATGTGTGTAATGTACATTGTAAGATAAAAACATTAACATTTATTTCGTAATATCAAACTACAAAAATCGTTTCGAAATAACAAACATTTTGTTCAAATATAAAACAGAATGGTAGGGATATCTAACAAAATTGTTAAATCCTTAACATTCTATTAATAATATCGAACTAAATCTTCATAATTTTGTAATGCTTTTGGTAAGGTTGCTTTCACAAACATAATCTTACGGTTCTTCTGGAACATTGTAAATTTGTTTTTAATAATATTTACTGAGAAATCTAAACGGAATTCAGAAAGGAAAACAAAATCAAATAATATTTAGTTGCATTTTATAACTATTAAAAAATCAGCGAATCTTAGCTTCAAGTCTATAAAAATAATTTATAAAAATGGGCCACAGTAGAACATTCATAATAAGATGATTCGAATTCAGATATATAGCTGAAACTGAAGCTGAAAACCAAATGTAAAAATAAATCGACATATGTGGGCAAAAAAAGCTCACTTTCTGGGAATCTAGCTCAGCAAATTCTTAATAAATTTACTTTTAATTTTCACGGATTTTCCAGATTTTTTTAATTGGCAGTTTTCAGACTTTTGGTCAAAAATCTGGCAACGCTAAGAAAATCAAATTAAATCAATGAAGAATAATAAAAAGATGCTTATAGGTCAAACAAACCTGCCCAAATTCCAGTAGACCTCGTGTTCTGTAATCCTTGAGGTTGGAGTCAGGTCAATGGTGTCCACCATTTTAAATCAACTAGTGTACACTTTTCCAGGATTTTCTAGAATCATTTGGGGGATTTCTCCGTACGATTTTCTAGTAAAAATAAGCTTTAAAAGCTATATAGGGATAATATCCATTAATCAAACTTAATAATATTTGCATTTATTACAATAAAATTATAATATTGTGCTGTTTAGTGTTTATTTTCGTAAACAAACAAACTTCAGGAAAAAGGTTTCAATATTTTTAAAATTTCAAGTCGTATTGCTTTTGAATTCTATGATAAATCGCTATGATAAATCTGCCCCTTTAGTAAAAGTAAATTTAACCTATATGAAGCATAAAGTTTGACCACGTCAACCTTGTCGAACCGGCAAGTCCTGTCAATAGAGCTAGGTACAGTACAAACTGGGACCGGAAAGGTTGACCCGGCTCGGAAATTCAAATGTACTACAGCTGCCCGTGATATTGAAGTCTCAAAAACAAAAACAAGTTAAACGTTGTCCATTGTAATTTTCGTTGTTTAAATATTAATTGTGCACGAGAAAAAAATAGAATTGCGTATATGAAGCAATGCCTAGTATTTGAAGCATGTAACAATATGACCGGAAATGGTCGCCTGCTCAACCAACCCTGACGACCCCGGACATTGACGTTGAAACCTAACTTTTTATTTCAACTTCGAAATAATATATTTACTTTCGCCAGTAAAAAAAATTTGAATTAAAAACATCATGTTCATAATCATAATCATTGTTTTTAAAGAATTGAAGGCGCAACTTTAAGTGGCAAATTAAAGCCCCCGAAAAAGTTGAAATCTCCAAACTCAATGTCCCAAGCTAATGTGGCACACGGTTTCCGAGTTTTATTCTCATGGCTTCAAGATTACTCATTGTCTATTCTTCTATTCAACTAGTTTTTCCCTAGACCTTTCTCAGGACCCACAAATTTTGAAAATATTGGCATGCGTCGCTTCAGGAGTCAATCTCAACCACCCAACCCCCCCCCCCCCCCAACCCCTGCCCCTCCGGTTTCGAACATTCAATTAATTAACTTTTTAATTTTCCCTTTTTTCTACCATTTATTTTTATTCACATGTGATGATATCTATATAATAAAGCTCTTCGCACGTTAAAAATATTTGTATATATGTTAGCAGAGTATGTAAACCCTATACAGAAATATTTATTTGGAACATACTATTCGTAACATATTTCTGGAACACCCTGTGCGTGAATATATTTCTGGATCACCCTGTAGATAAACATATTTCTTGAACATCCTGTATGTAAATATAATTCTGGAACACCCTGTGCGTGAATATATTTCTGGATCACCCTGTAAATAAATATATTTCTTGAACATCCTGTATGCAACTATAATTCTGGAACACCCTGTACGTGAATATATTTCTGGAACACCTTGTTGATGAATATATTTATGAAACACTCTGCAAAAAAATATATTTCTGAAACATAACTGTACGTAAATATATATCTGGAAAACCATATAGGTGAATATATTTCTGGAACACCTTGAACGTAAATATATTTCAGAAACACCCTGTACGTAAGCATATTTCTGGAACACCCTGCACGTGAATACATTTCTGGAACACCTTGAACGTAAACATATATCTGGAACACCCTGTACACAGATATATTGCGAATAGTTGACAAAACAAGAAGATCAAGAACCACAGAAAGAACAAGAAGAACAAGAAGAAAAAGAAAGAAAAAAAGAAGAACTAGAATTATGATGCACGAAAACAAGAAGATAAAGAAGAAAAAAGAATAAGAAGAACAAGAAGAACTCGAAAAACAAGAAGAACAAGAAGAACTAAGAACAACATGAACAAGAAGAACATGGAGAAGTATAATAACAAGATGAAAAAGAAGAAAAAGAAGAATAATAATTATGATGCAAGAAAAACAGTGTAATAAGTTCATGAAAACAAGTGATCAAGAAGAATTACAAGAAGAAAAAGAAGAATAAGAAGAACAAGAAGAACAAATAGAACAAGAAGCACAAGAGGACCTAGAAGAACAGGGAGAATGAGAAGAACAAGAAAAACAAGAAGAACAAGAAGAAAAAGAAGAATAAGAAGAACAAGAAGAACAAGAAGAACAAGAAGAACAAGAAGAACAATAAGAATAAGAAGAAGGAGAACAACAAGAAGAATTAGAAGAACAACAAGAAGAATAAGAAGAACAATGAGAACAAGAAGAGCAAAAAGAATAAGGATAACAATGAGAACAATAAGAACAAGAAGAACAAGAAGATAAAGAAGAACGATAAGAACAAGAAGAACAAGAAGATCTAAAATAATGGAGCGAGAAAAAAAGAAGTAAATTGCACAAAGATCAATTAGCTTCTGAGTTACTCTTTGTAAAATCAGGGTTATAAATTTACTTTTAAAATATTTTAGAAAAAACTTTAATCAAATTTTATTACTTGACAAAAAAAATGCAAAATTGTAAAAGATAGTTATCCCTTAAAATAAAGGGTTCCTTACAATGCCTCTGCTCACTTTAAAGAACCATTCAGATTTCACCAGTGCGCTTGTTAGATAGATCGATAGATAAAGATACCATGGATAGATAAGGAGATAGATAGATAGAATATAAGTGGTTAAATTGGCTTTATATCAAGCTGTGCTAAAGCACCTGGGCTTGTATATTTTATATATTTAGAGGGCACATTCACCAAATGGTGTTTCATGATTGTATTCTGTAGATATGTATGCACTATATATACACCAATAATTTATAAATAATCAAATTCAAATAAATAAAGTAGCTTAAAAAAACTAAAGTAAAATCATCGAAAGAATAAGAAAATGGAAGTTTTGAAGCGGAAAATAAGTAATAATCGGAATAATGCGAGGGGGAGAAAGAAAAGGCGATCTAATTCAGTTTTCCTTGAAAGTTTTCAAAAATGGCGGCTTTCTTGATATTTTTCAACAATTAAAAACAATATTATTTATCAAATAATAAAAACAGTACAAAACTGAAGAAGCTTCAAAATTAAAACAGTAAAAAAGAAAAAAAATATTCTCGCTCCATGTTGATTTGTTTAAGAGATACGCCTGAAGGCAGGTCTGTAAAGCAAGATAAAGGTTTGCATGTTTTAAAATTTTAACAAATTGGTCAAATTTTTGGTGTGCATTTCATACAGGTGTTCAGCGGTCTAAATATTTTGCAAAATAAGGTTGGAGTTATTAAGCATAGAAAAAATGGAGTAAAAATTATTCAATAAAGCTCTAAGTGCTCGCTAAACGAACACTTTTTAGAATAAAATCCAATCGATTTGTATTTTATATCTAAGGTGTAGCCTGTGTTTTTCTGTTTGTTCTTATGTCCGATCATAACTCATAAACCCCTTGACCGATACCGAACATGTTCTTAGCTTGTAGAAAACAATCGGAACTACCGACAAAGTTGGACAGTTTGTATGGCGGAGTGGAAAGTTTCTTGCATGGGAAGATATAGGATCAGAAAATCAGAGTTTGTTTCAAGAACTCAGTTCCTTTTTGGTAACACCAACAAATGTAAATATAATTTTCATAATAAATTGACATGGTTGACAATTTCTATGATTGTTCTACTCATCTACTACTGATAGGTTGACAAATTTGATAATATTCCTGTTTGTCTACATCTGTTCTAGAAAAGAACTGCGGGAAGTGACAGAAAGATAAAGGGTTGGTTACACTCGTATTATACACTGATGCCGTCCCATCACGTCTCAATTATATCCCACACCGACCATATTAAACCAAACCAAACCAACACAAACCAAATCAGACTAAACCAAACCAAATCAAACTAACCAAAACAAAACAAAAAAAAATAAAACTAAACCAAATCAAACCGAATCAAACGATGCCAAACCAAATCATACGAAATCGAACTAACCCAAACAAAACAAAAGAAAACCAGACCAAACCAAATCTAAGCTAAGAACATACAATCCCCACGAATATCATCCAATCAAAGGTCCGAACTTTCAGCATGAAAAAAACATAGCCTAGTAAATGTATACATGTAGAGGTTAGTATTGGTCAAACTACTTATACAAGCTAAACAGGAAACCAAACAAAATAAAACAGATTAACCAAAATAACCTAACAACATTCTAAAACCAAACCATACAATGATATCAATACAACCAAACAATACAATTAAAGCCATTAAAATACAAAATTATAGCAATTATCTCGATATAACTTTACAATACAATGATCTCAATACAACGAAAACATACATTACAACCATACAACCATACAATTACAATCAAATGATGTAAAACATACAATACAATAGTCTCAAGATAACCAAACAATAAATTAAGTGGAAGGTCGTCTAACGATTGAACATAAATCAATAAAAAATAGT